TAATGAACGTAGGGACACAAAAAATTAAAGACAATTACATGGGTAGGAATACAAGAGGAACAAGGACCGTCAACATCGTTTTTTATGTAGACCGCTTTAATGCCATTTTAGCGATTTTAGTTCTTCCCATTTAAATGGTTAATCTGTTTTTATGCCTGATGACGAGACACTAACATTTTCTATGCGTAACAAAGGTTTATACCCAAGCGTTCCGGGCACGAGCATGCTTCACTTAACCAACTGCTTGAACAGAGGAAGCATCGGAACGGTCAGCTTGGGCGAAATATTTGTCAACTTTGTGAAGGTTCCTTTTCGGAAAATGGGGGCATGTGGCATCCAAAGAGCAGCATGCAGTTTATTGCAAGATTCTGTGACCAAGTTTTCAGTACAAATGTTGCATGAAGTGTTCGCTTCCCAGCTGGCAATGTTGGGATTCTCACGAAATTATTCTTTAGTACCACTGTTTTTCTGAACTGCAATAATGACTAGCCAGAAATCATTATGCGTTCAATCGTTTCCCTGACTCCCCCATATCTCGGAGCTCGGACAATATAGCCTGGTGCGCGAAAATGCGTGGGCACCCGTTCAATTTCTATCATGTCTTTCTCCAGTGCGAGGCAGAGAATATCATGAGAATTATCGAACATTCTTTTCCGTGACCAACGCATGCAGCTATGTAGATGAATTATTGGCGGCGGCAAGACCGCTGACGAGGTACTTTGCTCAAAGGACTCCGAGTTCCACCGGTTGACCGTCTACATAAACGCATCATCCACGATTAGTGGAACCTTAGAATAGATTTATTTGCCTGAGTGATAACGGGCTGTTCAGAAAGGAAACTGAAGTTACGAAACACTATCACCATGCGGAAACATTCTGTCGTTTGAACTGTAAGATCCGATGCGCTGTAACTGCTGGCTTCAGACTAAATTTTGAGGCTCCGTGTTTCTATAGCTAACAATACTCTGTTTTAGGCCAAAAATGGTGGACCGTGTGTGCTCGAGTTTTTATATTTGCTGTTCATCTTAGGTCATTTTCTCCACGGGATCTATTTATTGGCCTGTTGTCCTTTATAAACTCAAAAATTGGGAGATAGATTTCTGAACGAAGGCAACTAACCTGGATGATGACTTCGACGGAGGCTCGAAAGGGCTGCAGGAAATCAAAAGTAGTCGACACAGGCATTGCTTCTCCAGTCTCATAATTGTAATTTTCGGTCAACACCTAGATGTCGACTGCGGCATACGTAGATCACTAGCGACATGTGGCCTGGCCACTTTCGACACTGTGCGCTCTAACCGATGGGGATGTACCCGTCAGTGCCTAATGTGTTACCTGAAAAGTCCATAGCTACATTCAGGCTTATTTGCTGATACCCGCTGATGTGTTTCATTCTGTTTCATTTTGTTCTCAAGACAAACAACCGGGTACCAGACTTTGATGTCTTCCTCGCAGACCGACAACGGTGAACATGTTAGGGTGGCACACGGTCAGTGTAGATATCAGATAGTTTGCGGCGCAGTCCTGCATACTATTGTGTTTGGTCTCTAAGTCTCCGTTAACACTGATCCCGAATGAACTGCTGGTAGGAGCTGTCTGGGATCCCTAGGGATTCGGGATGGGCCAAAAGCAAGTTTAGATCTAACTAACCACACACATTTGAGATATTACGACAGTCAGTTTCGGTGGGACTAGACCTATCCTTGAGGCCTATTTAGCCGTCAGCCGAATTATTCAGGTCGGGCATGCAGCAACAGTCCACACACAAACCGCGCTGGTTGTTGTTCCGGGGTTTGTTTGTGGCGCAAAGTGCATCTATGAAGCCGAAAATGAAAGTCCTATGAGGGCAAGAGCTACTGAAAGAAAGATAATTCGTATGTAGTCCACTGACATAAATATGCTCTGCTTCCTTGTGTGAAGTTATCAAAGGGCAAGTGAAATCTGTCTACTTTGAAATATCTTCGGCAGAATCTAGCCAAAGACCCCAACAAAATTAGCCAAAAGTACGCCTCAGATCTGATCAGGACAGGTGCCAGAGCATTGTGGTTTTACAAAACACCAGCATTTTTAAATTTTCGCGACCCAAGTTGGTTTAATCTATGGGATTTGGAGGTAGTACTGTTTTCGTCTGACGCCGCCAGTGAGAATTGCAAGGCTCGGGGCTTTGCGGTTTTTCCTTCTGCTAGCTGTGTTTCTTTTCACACAAAGAGCCGTATTGCATGACTTTTAATTGGCCAGGTTATTGAGGTACTTATACTGTTTGAGGTTCTCTGAAGAATGTTGCACTAGGCGAGCTTACAGGTCAAGTTAATTTAGTCTCGCTTTAGAAGTTTCCTTACTTCTCATTATCCCAAGGCCTTGTGTGACGATGTAGATTGTGATTTCAATACTTCCAAAGTTTCCATTTTACCAGTTTGCAGCGTCCCACTACCGCAAATCTTAATGTTCGTTCAATCAGGTTTAAAGGAAAGGAGTGAAGTTGTCTACCACGTTAGTCACCTGCGCTTGTAGTCCAGACACAACGCTCCGAAGCCCATATATTCATCACGATCCAAGGTGGGCCGGAAGAATGTTAGTGATTTTTTTGCAAGATTTCCCCCCTTCACGTCTCCCAGAATGTGCACCGTGTGAATTCTAGATGTCTGTAATAGACATATGGCCGTCAACCCCAATAATTGAATGCACTTTTCAGCCGTACACTCGGTGTAAGCTCCTCACCCACCCTGTAGTATCACTAGATTAAGCCCTATCCACAGGGGAAGAGCTGAAAAAGTTTGAATCAGCCGACACCCTCAACGCCCACAAATGCGTTGTAGGGGGAGGCCCACTAGATCAAGGGTCCGGCACATATGCAACTACCGCTTCCTCCTGAACCATTTCGTTGGGCGCAGCATCGTCCATTGGCACCTAGTTCGGCCTACGGTCAGCCATCAGCCGGAAACAGACGGTGACAATGTAGAGGAATCCTTGATGAAAATAAATTCACAAGTTATTCCACAGTGCCTGCAATCAAAGTGATCAACAGTCTGTCACACATGTTGAGCCCCACTGTTGTAAGCGGTATGAATGTAGGTGCCTTGATGGATACCTGAGCCTCCCGAAATGTCTCAATAGCGGCTCTAGAACGTAAGTTTGGAAATGTCTTAGGTGTTGAACTGTTATGCTGACTGGATTTTATTTTGAACCACAAAAAATCCTACGAGCAAGAACCATTAGCAGACAAAGACCGTCAAGCAATCGTCGAAACTTTGCACGAGGAGAAGCTGTAACATTCAACATCGCTGCTGAAGAGAATAGAAACCTTGTCGGAGATGAATATTTATGACCTAGGAGGACAACGCCAGAGGGTGAAGCACATCATTCTACAAAACTGTGGGTTGTTCACCGGGACCGCAAATAAGCCCGGAACAACCGGGGTGCTAAAGCATTAGATACACAACAGCCATGCGCCAGCTATAAGGATCCCTCTGCACTGATCTCGACTTTGTGCCACAGATCACGATGATTGAAGAAATTCTGAAAGAATAATGCCGCAGAGTTTGATCAGCCATTCTGGTATTCGCGCATAGTCCAGACAGTGTTAACTAATGAGGATCGAAGAATGTAGCGCTACATGATGAGTTTTCACAACTGATTGTGAGTGCACCCATCCATCGAGTAAACAATGCCGATGTCCATAAACCTTGCCGAGTAAGAGTGATGCAAATCGACTCATAAAAACACAGCGCGTAAGGGCAGCGAAGATTGAGTCCGCGGGCTAAAAAGAGTATTGAAATATACAGAAAGCTGAAGTCTATTTATGGCACCTTGAGACCGAAACGCAAGGTACGAATCGATATGCTCTGGTTATCGTAGGACCAACCAACCTATTTTAAATAAGATAGGTAGCTACTTCCACTGCGTGGCTTGTGCCACAAATCGTCGGTCCCGGACTGTTTGGAAAGCTACACGAAGAACTGGCATACACTGCTATAAACAAATTAAAAGACGCCGCACGCAGTCGCCATCGATGTTCACATCCACAATGAGAATTCGTCAACTTGTGCCACGCAAATATAACATGTGGGCTCCTCAAGTATCCGCTGCATCTAACAATAAAGGCCAGCTATCCGAACGAGGTGTGTCCAGAATTGGTATCATAGATCCAAGAGGTGAAAAACCCAGAGAAGATAATTACATTTTCACGCCGGTAAAATTCTGGATTTAGGCCGTCAATATGGTCGAAAGTCTTTAATAAAATAAACTGGAAATTGCTCTCGTCCAAACATAGATGAATGAAAATCCTGAGTTACACAGCAACGAAATATGAATTCTCTCGTCGAGTGATACCGAGTTAATCCATTGTAATGAACATTGTTTTTCAAGATGGAACTACTGAGTTTTCTACGAATACAACCTTCCAAACGTGGTTCCCTACTCCTTGAAATTGAGAAAATTTACAATTATATGGAGAGGTCTGCGGCCGGAAACGTTTGCCTCACTTTATTTCAAGCAATCCAAGTGACATTCACCCTAAATTATTTGTGTGACAAATTCAAGTGTGATGCCGTTCAGCAGAAGATATAATAGCTGTTTGCCTGCTTATCATATACGCTTGTCGATTTCAAAAAACGGACTAGGTGACCATGTTATCTGTACCCATGGTGCTCAATCTCTGTGAAGCTATTATACCTACTCAGCACTGGATTTCGGAGTGTTAAATTTACTACCGATTCGAGACTACGGGATGTTGAACATTCCAAAGTGAGCAGATTGCGACAGCTCTCCATATCCGTTAGCAGGTACATTACGCAGCCAACCTATGCGCCACCGCCTATGAGTATACTCTGTCCCTGTGTGGAGCTGAAACTGCAGCAAATGCAGTAGGAATCAAAGTAGGCACTAGGGTCGATAAGCTGGGCACTTTCTGTGTCACAACACCTTAGGAGTAGTGATCAATAATGTGAAACCAGCTCAGAAAATCAACACTGGAACACAGTCAGAGTTTAAGAAGTGGCAAAACGGTGTAAAATTTATTTAAAATGCACCACGCGAAGGCAGGGTAGAGGACAATATTTGTACAGTGCACAAAAAAGCAAGTGAATCATAACACAGTGTGCATCTAGAAAAATACAGAGCAAATTCGCGTCATCAAAACACGCGGTCGTAATACAGGCTATCATCGGGCATGGGCGGTCGGCGGTTCGGATGCGGCATACCAGGAGCACCAATATAGTTCATTTGTTGTCCGGGTCCACGTGGTCCACCGGCACGATTCATTGCCGGGGGTGCTCGGCCTCGCGGATTGTTGGAAGAGGATAAGAACTCGAGGTAGGACGTTCCAGATTTGGAGAAGGAACGCAAATCGCCCGGAGGAGGATCTTCGTAAAAATAATCGTGAGAGAGCGCCTGTTCCGCATCCAGGCGCTTGCTCGGGTCAAGCACCAAGAGCTGATCAATTAGATCGACTGCAGCTAACGAAGTAATTTTGGGCGTCAGCTTCTCTCGAACATGCCGTTTTATATCCTGAGGTAGACGAGCCTCTCTGAAGCTTTCAAGTCGTTGTACACCAGGCCAAACTTCCGGAGTTATTGAACCGCAAAGATTGATTATAAGATTCAACTGATTGAGCTCGTTATCACCCTGGAAAACAAGGGAATATATAACGGAACTAGCAACAGGCATAAAATTAGGCTGGCGTTAAGAACGAAGCAGGCACGTCGTAATGGAAAAGCAGTATATTTCTCGGTACGACGATCGTGGTAAATAAACAGCTCCACAATAGGAAGACGGATAATAGTAATAATGCTTTCATTTCAAACCACATGATCACATGCCACAACATGAAGCCATCAGTAGCGAATGTACTCAGAATCTGCTCTCAAGCAGAAAACATGTAGTTTGGTGCATGGAATTTATCTGTGGACAGCTGTGTTCTGCAGCGTCGGGAGCCATCGAGGATACTAGATTTAATTTATATTTTTCAAAGTAATGATTGATAATACGGTGAAAAGGCCCTAATTCCACTTGGGCAGAACTTCTATCGATAATAATTACCGGGATGAAGGATTTATGAGTTGAAAAGGAGAGTAGATTTTACTAAACGTTTCGGACACTAAAAATACACACACAAAATCTTCAAGCGTTAGTTCGAAAATACCTTGACTTTCACAAAACAGACTATCTACTCGCAGCTACCGACAACTTCACCTACGTTGGCCGCATGCAGCGAATGAGGTTGCATAAAGGGGAGCAAAATCATGCCGCATTTGCACCGCTTCTTCATCTCGTCGAGCGGTCGACCGTGGTGAATGTTTTCATTGCCTGTGTGTTTAGCATTGCAATTCTGAAAAGACCAAAGTTCTCGGTTTCTAACCATGACTGTCTCTACTAGCTGTCCCCTACCACACTAACGAACTGGGTGAACAGTGCGAACGAGCAAAGTAAGTCAGACCGGAGCTACTGCTGCATATCATTATCTGATAGACCTCAGCGAGATTTGGAACGAACAGGCAGTGTTCAGTCAATGATAAGGCCTCGAGTTACAAACGTATTGACTACACAACCTAGCCAAATTAGTAAATGTCACGCACCTTGTTAACTCCCGTAGACGGTTAAATATACTTCTTTACAAAGCAACATGCTGCGGTTAATAGCACGCTTGCATCTTAAGCATATCCTGAGTATCCCCATTCGATTCAATTCCAATTGGCAGTGCCCCTACATTAGCAATCAATGTGGCTTTTGCATTTCACAATTGTCGTGATAGCCACCCTAGGACCAGCTAATTAAAGGAACGAAGCAATACGGAAAATCATGATGGCGATGAAGAGGACCAGTAAGTGTGAGGTCACTCAAGCTGCGTGACACTGCCGTTATGCGCACCAGCAAGAAGTACTGGTGAGATTGCGTTGAAGTAGCTGCTCTAATTAGTTCCTGTCTGATTGTGGCTAGTTTCGGATTATAAACTCAGGACATAAATACCAGAGAACTACCTTTTTGATTACCCGAGTGATCTGAACGTAGGAGCTACTTGAGTTTGTATTAAAAAAAATCAGGTAATCCGTATTACAGGTTGAGTAACCTCTTAGGGGGGGCGAGGTGGCCAAAGTGGTTAGAGCGAGAATTTACTGACCAGAAGGTCCGTGGTCCGAATCCGACCTCCGCCACTCGACTTCCCCTGTCTAGGCTTGAGCAACCTGGCAGTATCCAAGCCCTCGTGCTTCCTTCGGGTGGCATGGCAGCTAGGTACCGAAAGGGTGCTACAGCTGAACGCTTTATCTTTTAACCTCTTAGGGGCAGGTTGCGTTGGTTGTGCGTCCGATTTTCAGTATGGAGCACTTTGTCCGTGTTTAAGTGGCTACCAATCGCAGTCTGTGTGCATGGTTCCCAGGACCATAGAAACAGGGCGAAACCCAATGGAAGTTGACTCTGGATTGAGTTTTATTGTGGTGGTTCCGGACATGAAGTTTAGGAGTACAGACTGGAGACGGCCGACGCACGAAGGGGACTACCGATAAAGAGCATCAGTATATTTATTTGCTTTATCAAACTGATCAGAAGTATCAAGTAACTAAGCTGATCAAAGTGTTCACCTATGCCTCATTTTGATTGTTCACGTGTTTAATCTATTTTGAGACGTTTTTACACTTCCTGGGAGAAGTCACTGAGCACTTGTATTTGCAATAACTGCCCAGAATCTAGAATTGACAGTTGACCACATACAATTTACGTCGCAACCGTAACAGCTATACAGCTGCTGGGTAGATCGCTTAACAGAGAAGAACCCAATGTATAGTGCAACTCGTGCAACAGTTGTAGCGTCGTAAAGCAGTTGAGGAAACAAAAGAAAACCATCGAAACGCGACAAACAAACCCAGTGGAACAGATAAGAAAACAGCTAACAGCCACCAACCAGTATGATGATGGAAAAATGATGAAATGACGTGATACGGAAAGGCCAAATAACTCGAACCTGCATGATTGGATACTTGGTCCATAACTCGGCCATGATACACCCTGCGCCCCAGAGATCAACCGGCTTGCCATAGTGCCGATCGTTGAGAAGGATTTCCGGTGGTCGATACCACAGTGTGACCACACGAGTAGTGTAGCGCGTTGGGCGGTCCGGACGAATGGATGCGACCGTTGTTCGAGCCAAGCCGAAGTCAGCTATCTTGAGGATGCCGTTTTTGTCGATGAGGATATTGGCAGCCTTCAAATCTCGATGGAGTATATTGTTTCTGCCAATAAATAAAGCTGATGTCTCAAAAATAGTAACACCCAAATTTTGGCCACAAACTATAGTATGGAGACCTAACGAAGGGAGAACGAAATCGACTTGAATTCGGAAGCGTAGTGCATTTAATTGGCGTAAGTTTACGGTGACAAGTCAATTGCACAATCTTGTGTTGTAACCTCGGTTTCCGCCACGGTAATAGTAGAAGTTTTACACAAAAACTATGGATGGTATGCGTTAAATAAAGAAAAGTAAGTTTATTGTGCGGCCTGTCGATCAAAATTGATCAACTTTGCACAGGGAATACCGTTCAAAAGTTCAGCAAGCAGAATCACCTACGAAAGGACAAAACGAATGGCATCTGGGGAAATCAATAAGTAGCGGCAGCCAGTAAGTTCCGTAGGTAGCTGGCATCGCCCGGTTGCCTGGGAAAATGATTTGGACAATATGCACTACGCCTATCGTTATATAAGGGACTAGGTGAGCCCCTTTGCGTTCCATGCTCCGCCATTGTTTGCGAGTGAAAAAACCTTGCCTAAGTCAAACAATATATCGAGAAACCGGAATTTTTCACTTCGAGGGGAGAGCAGAATTCACTCACCTCTCGACTATAGGCAACTGGCTGTATTTTTAGGCCTTCCCTCATATGGACACTTTCTGCAGTGGAGGACATGTTTCAGAGCGAGTCCAAGTGAGCCCTTTATCAGTATATACGATCTTCGGACATTTGCGAAAAAATTTCAGATCCATTAAGTGTTTACGTCCCTTTTGAAAATAGTTAGCACAAGCACTACAGCAGTGCACAAGTCAAATACAAGTCACATTATATTTCAGCTAACCACATCTTTAAAGAAATTTGCATGGTTACGCGCGCAATCGCTGAACCCGTTGAGAAACACGGATATTCGCCTTTCCTTCATGAAGTTGAGCTATGAAATGAGTGTAGTATCTCAGCTTGAGACATTTGAAAAGAAAGTACAAAGCAGGATGAGTTTGTTTTGCATGCTCATATCTGTCAGTCACTTTCCCCGATGTGCACGCAATTTCTCGATCGCTCTGTCTTGTCCTACTTAGACGCATCACCTTGTTTTTTTCGGCGGGACAATCGGCTGTGATTGCACTCAGTGGCGAAATAATTTGAACTGCATATAGCCGCAGTGATGATGAAATGCCATGATTTAATTTACCTTCGATGTATGGACGCCAATCATGCATCTATCGAAACGGTGTACGGGATATGAATGACGCTGATATTGCTGTATGATGGTGGTTTTTCCGTCTCAGCGCCAACTCGCACGGAGGATAAAGAGTATCCTGCTAGATTTCAAAAAGACAATGCTAACTTGAAGAACACAAGCTGCAGAACCATTTGAGCTAACAAAAGTGCCCCTTTAGAAGCGTTTCTTAGATGGAGTTTCTTCAGGAGGAAGAAATGTGGTCACGTGAGGAAATAAGGACGACCAAAAAAGTCCCCTTTTGAGGTCCTTCTTATGCAATACATGAAGCCTCGGCTACTGTTCCAATCGAATGGAACTCAGCGAAAAGATGGCGTCAGAACCGCCCGTCGTATAGAGCTTTTCCAGAAGTGGTGAGAATCTACATTAGAATGCGCTGATTACATGGCATTAAGGTCGTGAAGAATAATACCAGCACGTTCTCAGCTGCCAAGTGTTACGACGACGAAGTTTCTAAAATAGCGGAAGTGGATGACGAATGTCTAGTTAGGGATGAGTAATGAAGTACATAATGCGCCGAACTTTCCACTAAAGATAGATATTTTGATACGACCTGGCTGAATGTTTTTCCAAAGATAAACGCTATGGGAGATCAGTCACGTCACATACGGGATGTGTTCTTTTGCTTCCACATGCACCTGATGAAATTTCAAGCTGACGTATATCATCCTTATTTTGTCTGAATGTGGGTAATCCGTATGGATTTTGAGGGCTATTTTCCGAAATCACAGCATTTAATGCCTCAAATTTAGCAAGACAATTGGACTGCTCACATCAGGCATAAAAGATTCAGTACATTGCGTGACTAGGAGGCCAAGCTCTAAGTTTCCATTAAGCATTAGGATTCCATTAAGTACCGGACAGCGCGATGTTCTAACTACCCGAATACTTTCAGGATTTCCCTAAGATGCAAAAAAGGATAAACAGACTAATCTTTACACTAGTGTTCAAACGCTCATAATGAGGTGCACAACCATTGTTTTTTACCAAACCTAACCAAAAATTACACACATGCGCCAAAGGTGTTAGATAGTGATTCACAAATGCAGATCCTGAAACTCACCTCCGAGAACCTTAGGTGCGCGTTTGCTCAAATACACAACTGTATCCCCAATGCTACCCGTAATCCATTTGTTCTTGGATCACTCTGTTTTAATCCACGGCCAGCGTGTTAAGACACTTTTATATTAATTGAAGCCCCCAGTTGAGTTGAAAACTGGCAAGTAAGCTAGCTTTTGTTTTGTTGATTCCGTCGTCACACATCTTAATATGAGTCCGCATGATGATCACAGTTCAATCCAATTATAGAGATAATATTATAACAAAATTATGTGCGGTTCAAGTCCTGCGCCAATCCACGACAGCTAAGCCTAAGATTATGCATAAATAAAGTGAATGGGTAAGATGCAACCGGTTTCATCAAAATTGGTCTGAATTTTGTCTGTATCTGAGACATAAACAGTCATCAGATCTTACTTGTGCTTCGCGACAGTTTCCCAATTGAACGCTGGAGCTCGAGATGGCTGTGGTTAAAGCGCGAATTTGCTAACCTGAAGGTCCGTGGCCGGAACCCAATCTCTGTATCTCGACTGCTCCTATCTAGGCTTGGGCAACCTGGTAGTATCTCAGCTCTTGTGTTACCTTCGGGTAGCACGTCAGCTAGGCACCGAAAGGGCTGTTACAGCTGAACAAATTAACCTGCCTTCGGCTGATTACAGACGCCTATTCATTATTTCAAACAAATCGCTCACTTTGCTGAACAGCATTTTTCAACAAGTCCGAACATCATCCTTCGGATGAGAAGCTCGAATGGAAAGGATACGTTTGAAGAGAGGGGATCGAAACCAAAACAAATCTAACTTGGTCGAAAATCCAACTCCTACGACGACGCGTTAATCCCACAACGGAAAACCATTTTTGTGCGCCAGAAAATGAATGTTGCCTCAACAGCACAGAGCCTAGCAGAAAGAGGTTGTACAGTGTAGAATTACTTCTAGATATCTGCTCGTTCGGAATTTTCAATACCTGAATTCAGTCACACATTTTCTATGGATGTACCTGCCAGAGTTCTTTGATGAAGTTCACAAGAGGTAACTGGTTGAACGTTCAGATCCTCAAAACTGGTTGGACCAAACGAAGTTTTCATAATAAGTTGAATTTTGCTGCAAATCTATCAGGATTAGGTAGAGTTTTATGGGATGGCTATCAACTGTTAACTTTAAGGGGAATCAAATGGGAAGAACTCAAGAGCAGCTGAAATTGTTTATTCGGGTGGCATGTTTCACCACTAAAAAGGCACCGTATAAGAGGTACAGATTCGAAGAAAGTCATTTGAGCCATTGATAGACTGGTACCAATAACTTCATGCCACACTGGCCGTCATATTGCGCCATCAGTTTTACTTCTTGCATACAACAGGGCGGATAAGCAAAAACGGGTCACTGACGAAACCCTTCTTGAATCCTTCCCAGATTAACGACCGGCTTTCATCATGACAGGCAGCAGTACGGTTATCAGAATGCTCAAAGGGGTTTTACCACCTTCATAACGAATTAAAGGGCGCGAAATATCCGGGCGGGTGGCTGGTATATTAATAATACAGCGTGTTTGATTTGGAACTGTCACTCCAATACCGCTGAACACGTGAACCCTGGTAGCCTAACATGCATCGAAGAAGACAGATATCATGCACATGCTTGATTTTGAGCTTCTTAATGGCTAACACTCACCGCTTACCAGCAGTGTTACTGAGGTGCAAAATGCGTACATTTATCTACCCAGCAAGGTTGTTCTCCACATAATCCTTGTTCTTTTAAGTTATCTCGAGTCTCTAAGGGGAACTCCGGGCTACACCCGTATCAAACACGTTGTATGGCAACCAAGAATGGCACAGGGTCTTCACGGCAACTCAGTCGATCGAATTTCAACAGGTAATCATGCTTTACACATAGTCACTTAGCTAGTTGGAAAGAAGTAAGAGTCAGCGATAAAAAGCCAGAAAAACTGTGATGTATAGCCGTTTATCCGTGGGTGCAGGCCACATTCAGCCACAAAGTTGTCAGGTGACAATCAGTTGATGTACTGTTCTAGCGTCAAAGTAGATCATATGCATTTGTCAGACCCCCATTAACAAGGAAGCCTGCGTTTACATTCACACACGAAGACAATCAATCATATGTAGCCTTAAAAATGAAAGACACAACAAAGTAATTGGTAAAGGTTTGTTTCCTGAACGGTATGAAGCTACATAACATTAGGCACAGCGTGTCTCCATGAAAATCAAATGCACAGTAGATAGATAAAGGTAACAGACAGAGCCAACTGCATGCTTGGCCTTAGAACAACTTCGTGAGCAAGGTAAATACTGCACTTTTGGCATGATGGCTCGTGTGATAAGTCTCAAACGCAACATCGAACACACAAAACCACTTCTGATGAAGTCACAAATGTAGTCGTACGTAGACATCGTATTTGGTCGGGTATGTTATGCAACCACCATGTATTGCCCTGATCGAGACATCATCTACTATAACAGCAAGTCTCTTACGTTCACTTGTAGCCGAAGGAAGTATAATGGCCGAAATGTTGTCAGATAATGGTCACAGCTCGCCTGATTTATTTTATCCAAAGTTTTCATTTCAGCTGAAAAATAACTGATGGGCTACTTTCATAACAATGTACTCATTTAATACACATCCGGTTTGCCGATTCAACCAAGCTGTTCAATATAGCTTCTGAATGGAGTTCATATGGCTCTGACCCGCAACCGCTTTTTTCATGGCTTCCGGATGGACCTGGGAATCTTAAAAGCGCTTCGCTGTAGCTGCAAAACAAGATTCGGATGTCATGAAAAAACGGTGACATTTTTACCACTGGAATTGAGGAGAAAATGGAGCCCGGTGACATTGTGATTAATTATCTTTCGTGGAATGCAAACAGGCGGACAGCGACAAAGTGCATTCCAAAACACTTGCTGCACTCCAAAACAGAAATGACTGACAAACATATCACGACCGAAAGGTACTCAGCTGACCCAACTAAGTCATAACTCAACTAGCCGCGAACGTGGTGGTGACATTCAATAAATGAAGAAAGCAACTACTCCTTTATAAATAGGAAGGTCCCAACTGTTAAGCTGTAGCACCCTTTCGGTGCCTAACTTCCATGCCACCCAAGGGTTGAACGAGGGCTATGGTACTGCCAGGTTGCTCAAGCCTAGAGAAGGGAAGTCGGGAGACGGAGGTCGGGTTCGCGCTCTAGCCACTTGGGCCATCTCGCCCAAGGTCTTTATGCAACCATATTTCAAACCAATTCATGAGTACATTTCTCCAGCTTGGAGGTATTTCGGTCCCCAGAGGTCGTGAAATCCCAGAGCCAGGAATGAAATATGACCGAGTAAAACAAAACTGGAGAGGAAGAATCTATAGATAACGTGTCACTTATCTCAGTGCTATTTGTCTAATGCATTCCAGGCTTTACTAATTTCAGCTTCAATAATTTTGGAAATCCCCCGCCCCTCAAATCAAACGAGTAAGCAGTCCATTCGTTGCTGAACGAACGAAAGGAACTTAGGGTGTTATGCGATTTCAGAACAAAGCGCAACTTTCTAATTCAAGTGTAAAGCAAGAAGCACTTACAGGTGTAAATAATAGAGTCCAGTTAGCAGCTGTTTCATGATTGCTTTTTTCACGGGATCGGTAAAGTCGACCTGTTGACTCAGTCCCGCCAGATCGTGATCGCAGAACTCAAACACCAAAAAGAACTGCGGTTTATACCCGTTTCGAGCGTTCGCTACAAATAGTGTTATGCAGATAGTAATCGGCATAACTTACGCGCTGTATGGCAAATTTCTTTCAGACATACGATGTTCTCGTGGTTCAGTGCCTGTAAAATCCGAATTTCACGGAGAGCAGTGATGGGAAACTGTTCGTCAACGAGAATGCCAATAAAAGCATAAGAAACAAACCCCTTCCTTCTCTTGCTCCATGCGAATACGTTTTAGGGCAAAGTGTTGCTTCGTCGACTTGTGACGAACTTTGAAGACTTCACCAAATGTGCCTTGACCTATCTTTTGCAGCTTCACATATTGATCGACAGACTTGGTTTTTGCCAGACTCTCTATGTTGTTCTCAACTAAACAGAAAAATTTGGTGTTATCAGCCTGCAAATCTGCGAGCAGCTCCGAACGATAGGCTTCTTCTTGGAACATTTCACTGCATGTTTTCACTAAATGCGCCAGAATAACCGGAGAACAGAAAGTATGAATTTACAAGTGAACGGCACCTGGAAATCTAAAAAGAAACGGGGGATTGGAGAAAATGATCGAGAGTTAAGATGAACCCGGCAGTAGAAACAATCAAATATGCAGGTGGAAATAGCACACAAACTAACCTCAGTTGGAACAACATGGATGATTCCTGTAAGAGATGGACTCAACTTATGAGCGAGTCAAGTAATATGATAAACGAATGGGAGAGTGGTATGCTCGGTACCTTAATGGTGGCCTTCATTCAAATCTTTGGACTATAGCCCAGACCGTTGAGCACAAAAGTGGAGAAGGCCCGAAAACCAGTGAAATTCAAAAACCAGTAGCAATCAGGGACCAGAAACAAAGGAAGATGAAGGCACCAACGTCAACTCAGGACCTGGAATTCTAGTTTCTGTCAACTGGGAGGGAAGTGAGAGACCCAAAAGGAGTAAGTGAAAGAGTTGAAACACTATCGTATTGATGTATCTGCTGTCTGTGAAACCCATTTGGGTGATAAGAGGAACGTACAAGCTCGCTACATATTCTGCTGATCTGGAACTCAACAGGACAACCAACAAGAACATCGAGCCGGTCGATCGTGCGAAATAGAATTAGGATGAACCCAACTGTGAGGATCCCGACCCAAATCTGTCATCCTGTTGTGGTGGCCGGGCTTCTGTGCTGCAGTGATCCTGTGGGCTATATTGGCTGGAACCCAGTTCCTAAAGGTTTAACCATGCCAGGAAGACCAACGGGGAGAAACAAGACGAAGAACAGTGAGTCCCCATACTGTGGGTAATCGTATTACGAGGCGCTTTGGAGGTAAAGTGGTACTGTCCTGTGCGATAGGAGTGTGAAGGCAGTAAGGCATTTCCCCCAGGCGACCAGCAAGCTCAAATTTACGGGAGCAGCGATGCTGCCTTCTCCCGAGGAAGGACGGGTTAGAAGAGGTCGGTTCCAAAAACCGCACACTCCGATCATCCAAAGGTTGACTGTGAACGCCGGTGCATTATTCAGTACGGTCGAAAGACTTTTAAAACCAAACAGCCCGATGCTGCTCAGAAGGGACCTACTGTGCGCAGCCGAATCAGGAGTGAGACAGTAATGCCATACTCCCTGCGTTCTCGGGCCAGGCCGGAACCCTACAGCCAAGTAGGTCAGACTATTGGTTCCAAAAACCGCACACTCCGATCATCCAAAGGTTGACTGTGAACGCCGGTGCATTATTCAGTACGGTCGAAAGACTTTTAAAACCAAACAGCCCGATGCTGCTCAGAAGGGACCTACTGTGCGCAGCCGAATCAGGAGTGAGACAGTAATGCCATACTCCCTGCGTTTCTCGGGCCAGCCGGAACCCTACAGCCAAGTAGGTCAGACTATTGGGTCATTGACTCCGACAATGGTCCCCAAAAAACTCTAACAACCGCTTTCGTAGTCCAGACTATCGAGTCGGAGGTTAGGGGCAGGGTCCCCTAACGAAACCCTAAATCCTCTCTGCCTTTTGGGTCAGGTTTTTGAGTCAAAGGCTTAAGGTCCGGTACCTCAACCAAACCCGCTTCTTCGGCCTGGGCAACCGGGAAGTATCATTTGCCCTTGCAGCTCTTCGCTCACCGGCCTTCCCCTGATTCCCTCCCAACCCATGGTACAATGCAGTGCAATCAACCCATCTACAAATTCCATGGCCACTGTTCCGTGTCTTAACCATCACCAAACAAGCCAAAATAATTACCTACTAACCTCAAAAGATCTTATCCACGTTGCATCCTTTATTATCCATACTTTAAGTCAAATTAGGCAACATACATCCTTTTTTGAAGCTCCACTTTCCCAATCTATCGATATACGTTGTCTTCGAAACAAGCGTACAAGACCCCACTTCGGTCGTGCCCCTCAAGTCGCTTAGGACGAGCCCAGGTGTTCCACATCTCACTATTCTGGCATCCGGTGATCCTGACGCAATGGCTCGTGTTATCTACGGTGTGGGAGTTGCACTCAGCCCCAAGGCTGAGAGCGCCTTACTAAACTGGATCCCAGTAAACAGTCACCTTTTTTGTGCTGAGCGGTTGTCTGAATCAATTAGGATTACCGCAGGCCGGTGCGGTAAACGGTATTTGTTTGCCGTATAAGCATACGCCCCAAAAGATAGCAGTTCTGAGACTGGGAAGGATGATTTTTATCAAGACCTGTCACGATTGCTTCGGTCGGCAAGGACGGATATAGTAATCCTGATGGATGATATGAACACCCAAGTTGGACGACCAAGTCCGGAAGCAACACAGTTAGGTGGTCGGTTTGGAGTCGATGCTCTGCCAGGCTTGGGCAACCTCGCAGTATCCCAGCCCTCGTGCAACCTTCGGGTAGCATGGCAGTTAGACACCGAAAGGGTGCTACAGCTGAACGAATAATATAGATATAATTGGAGTTGATACTGAGCGTACGGATAATGGACAGCGACTTCTTCACTTGTGTGAAGATCATTGTCTGTTCCTGGCCAGTACGAACTTGCAACACAAACACACACCGAGTTATTTGGAGGCCACCTACCACAAGATAGTCGTGGATTCAATTGGACCATATGGCTATCATATACCGATGGAGAGCTTCAGTCTAGAATTGCCGTTCCTTCTGGGGTACGTAACTTGACTTTGATCACGCCATCGTGCGGGCTCGCTTAGCACTTCGCTGTCCGCCAGCACTGCGCGTGCCGAAAGAGAGGAGCTCCGTTCATCAACCTCGAAAAGTTTTAGTAGCTGAAGAGTATCGAGCTAATCTGGCTAGAAAACTACTGGAAACACAGTCATGTAGACGACGAAGACTGTTTGGGGATTAAATGGAGGAAAGTTATAAAAGCAATGCTGTCAGCTTTCAGAACTGTTTGTCCAGCCCTTCTGATTCGACTGAGTGAATACTGAATATTTTCGAGATCAGCAGTTCTTATTGCTGTCAGAAAGTCCATATCAGCAACTAGCGACTGTAATGGCACACGCAGATCCTTTAAGTACAGGATCACCAAGAGTATGAAGAATGACAGAGAATGCTGATGGATTTCAAGTGTCCGGGAGATGGAGAAGGCTTTCGCTGCAGACAACAGCCGCGCCCTGTTTCAACTAATTCGATCAACCAGTCAAGAGAAAGCAAGTGTCAGTGAAACGATATGCGAAAAAGACGCCTTGAGCGGTGGGCTAAGCACTTCAAGGAACAATTCAGCTGGTCTCTTTCAACGCAACCACTGGAAGAGCCCAGCGGGACTGAGTAGAATGTCGACACCAACCCGCCATAAGCACAGTATGATAATTCAATTCTGAAGCGCGATAAGGCACCTTGCTTGACCGGATGGTCTGCGCCCCGCAATCTTCCAAAAAGGTGACAAGATCCTGGTGAACAGTTTGACAACCATACTGCAGAAGATAAGGATCGAAAACAGAATATCAGCCGAATGGAGCTCATCGGCCGTCATCCCAGTTTTCAAAAAAGGAAGCAAGAACGCCACGTGAAAACCACTGTGGTGTCAGCCTGGTATCCGGCGCATCTAAGGTGCCCTCCGGTTTTATTTTGCGAAGGTTGATGGAGTATTGTGAGAGAGAGATTCGTGAGAATCAAGTTGTATTACGTCCAGGTCGATGATGCATCGACCAAATCTTTCCTTGAGACAAATGCTTAAACATCACCATTCCTTCAGACGTCCCACGTTTTTTTTCCTGGATTTGAAGCTACTATTGATTCTATCGATCATCAGCAACTTTGGCAGTGTCTGGTGATCAAGGGTATCCCTTCCAAAGTTCCCTTATGAGGGCACTATATGTGAACTTCTGTGGGCGCATACGAGTATACGGGAAGCCCTCGTATGAGTTCACCATGTTCAGAACTGTTCTCTTTCCACTTTCCTTTTCAACTTTATTATTGACGTGCCGCTCGAACTTTCTCAGCCTGTTTCTGAACCCTTGGGAGTCTAAATGCTCCCAGGACGTTGCCTCACAGACGTTTAGTATGCAAACGATGTTGCTCACCTTGGTTCATATCCTTCCAAGATGCAAACGATTTTAGATAACCTAAATAACTCTGCCGCACGGTTTGGCAGGCGTTTCACACCTGCAAAGTGTAAAGTGCCGCTACAAGATTGGGTGGGATCAAACCCACACCTCATGCTTGTAGGTGAGCCAACCGACGTGCTAGATAAATCTGTTTACCTGGGCAGCTGTACAAGTTCCGGTGGACTGTGTGGAGATGAGATTGTTTCTCGAATCGGAAAAGCCAGAGCAACTTTTTCCAACCTCCGGTACCTATGGCGTCGACGTGACGTGAGTTCGTCTATCAAGGGAAGGTGCGATCCATAATGTTTTACGGATCAGAGACGTCGCCCCTACACACAGAGGATATAAGAAAGATGCCAGTGTTTGACCATCGGTGTCTCCCAAGCCAAATCCTAGACAGGGGAAGTCGAGAGGTAGAAGCCGGATTCGAACCACGGACCTTCCGGTCAGTAAATTCGCGCTCTAACCACTTGGTTTATCTCGCCATCTCGCATAAGCAGACACAATAAACAAGCTGCGATGAACCTCACTTCCCCTGAACTCTCACAGATGTTGCCAAACGAAGTGCACAGAGGCGACTATCACCAGGTATCCAATCAAACAGAGACTCTTTCGCTCGTTCGCTCAATACAGTACTCACCCCAGCATATCCAGTTGCAACGGCCGCGGCAGCAGCCGGAACCTGGGAAAGAGAAAGTGGACGGTCAGTTCGATCACAGTACTTGCGTCCTGTGTCCTTGTTTCTGATAGACAACACGCATAAATGTAGAGGGAATCCAGCGTATGGGTAAGAGCCACCTGATGACCTACTTGCTTCAGCGTGCGAACATTTAAGGTGGCTGAGTAGACAGGACTTCGGGGTTTGAAAACGCACCTCGAAGTGTTTAGGGCTGTGACTGAACTCGGACGTCCAGGAGCTAAATCTGAGTG